AAAAAAAAAAAAAAAAAAAAAAAAAAAAAAAAAAACGGTAACATCAGAATTCAGATCTGTTGGAAAAGAAGCATAAATTTACAACTACGGAAACAGGTTGAATCAGCAAATTGCAAATATTTAGAGCAATATGGGTTATCCATTACAGTAATATGAATTATGAAATAATATTGTGTTTCATTTTATTTATTTATTTATTTATTTATTCAAAGCTTTGTCACATGCCCCCAAATATAAAAAACTGAATCCAGCAGACCCCAGCCCCCTCTTCCCCAGTTACACTCACACACACTCGCAGCGCTGTAGTAAAAATAACATTTTCCTCTCAGCTACGATTACACAATTCACACAGTTACTATGTGAGATTATCTTTTTCAAAGAAGAAAAGAAAAAAAAAAAAAAAAAAAGAATGGCGTACATGTGCACAGAGAGTGGAAATCTAATGGCGATTGCTCAGCAAGTCATCAAACAGAAGCAGCAACAGGAGCAACAGCAGCAGCAAACTCACCATCTCACTCTCAACCCTTTCTGCCACTCACCCTGGTCGCCCTCCTCCTCCTCCGCCGCCGCCTCCCACCAGCAGGCCCCACCTGCCTATGGCCTCGCCTCGGGATTCCCAGACCCGTTCCCAGGACCCGAATCCGCCGAGCCCGGGTTCCACTTCCCCAGTCTCGACCCCCACTCGGGTGGCTTCCGCTTCTCGGACCTGTGCGGCGCTCCCGGCGGCGATTTCGACTCCGATGAGTGGATGGAGAGCTTGATGGGCGGCGGAGACTCTACGGAAAGCTCCAATTTGCCGGCGGATTGCGACGCGTGGCGCACCGGCCACGAGTTCGCCCACCTCTACCCGGCCGATCCCTTCCCGGGTCGACTCAGCATCAACTCGCCTCCTCCGTCCGACCTCAACCGAGTTATCTTCTCCGAGCCCCCGCCGTCCTCTGCCTGGACGGCACACCCTTCCTCCGCCCCGCTCCCACCCGCTCCGTCGACAACCCTGCCGGAATCTAAACCCGTAGTCGCCACGAAAGACGCCACCGCAGCTTCCATTAGTTCGCCTGAAACCTCGCCCAAAGCGAATCCAATCCTGAAAAGCCTAATTGGCTGCGCTCGCATCTCCGAGTCCGACCCGGATTCCGCCGTGAAATCACTGATCCAGCTGCAGAAATCGGTCTCCCAGCACGGAGATCCATTAGAGCGGGTCTCTTTCTACTTCTCCGAAGCCCTCCACTGCAGAATCTCGGAGAAAGCGGCCACCATCTATGACACCACTTCCGAAGAGTTCACTCTATCCTACAAAACCCTCAACGACGCCTGCCCCTATTCAAAATTCGCCCATTTGACAGCCAACCAAGCAATCTTAGAAGCCACCGAAAACGCCACCAAGATCCACATAGTCGATTTCGGCATAGTCCAAGGAATCCAATGGGCCGCCTTCCTCCAAGCCCTGGCGACCCGGCCCGCCGGAAAACCTGAAAGGATCCGGATCTCCGGCATACCCGCCCCGTCTCTAGGGAACTCCCCGGCGGCATCCCTCATGGCCACCGGCAACCGGCTGAGAGATTTTGCCAAGCTTCTGGATCTGAACTTTGAGTTTGAACCGGTTCTGGTCCCCGTTCATGAGCTAAAAGGGTCGAGCTTCCGGGTCGAACCGGATGAGGTTCTAGCAGTGAACTTTATGCTCCAGCTGTACAATCTGCTTGACGAGAGCAGCCAAGGAGTCGAGCTTGCTCTCGGGCTTGCGAAATCTCTGAACCCACATGTGGTCACTTTGGGCGAATATGAGGTGAGTGTAAATCGGGTCGGGTTCCTGCACCGGTTCAAGAACGCGCTCAAATACTACACAGCCATCTTTGAGTCCCTCGAGCCAACCCTTGGCCGGGACTCAGCCGAGCGGCTCCAGGTGGAGAGGCTGCTGCTAGGGCGCAGGATAGCGGGCCTGGTGGGCCCGGAGGAACAGAAAAGGGAGCGGATGGAGGATAAGGAGAGCTGGAGGTTTCTGATGGAGGGGGCTGGGTTCGAGCCGCTTGCATTTAGCCATTATGCGCTCAGCCAAGCCAAAATACTACTCTGGAAATACAGCAACAGCACGCTGTACAAGCTTATTGACTCGAGTCCTCCGGGCTTTCTGTCCTTGGCTTGGAGTGATGTCCCAATACTTACAGTCTCGTCTTGGCGCTGACAAAGCTGAATTGTGATCAGCGAGTCTGGTTTGGGTTTCTTCATTTTCTGGACTCCTTAAGGTTAAAGATTGAATTTTTCTGAAAGATGAATTGCTTAAGTTGGTCCAGTTTGTTGTGGATTGAAGTACATTTTACCATGTTGATGTGAGTTTGTGAAGATGGTTTTGAAGGGTAATCTTATTAGTTGTAGGGTAGATGGGGGGATTAAGTGTAGTTGTTGATTTTTTATTTATAGTTTTTGAAGCTTTTGGTTTGGGGTATAACTTGTTTTTGTCTTAGTCTTTTGCAGCATGAACTTTTCTAGTTCTTTTGTTGATATGTGAATTAGTGATAAAAGGTAATGCTTGTCTATTTGTATTTAACTTGGAAATTTGATGACCTCTGATTTTGTTTCTAGTTTCTGAGTCTTGGCGCAAATGGTTATAACGATGGATTTTTGTTTGTACCTTTTGTTAGTTCATTCGAGTTCTCGGTGATCGAATTGAGTCGAAACTCTCTAATTGTGCATATTAATGTTAGCTATTGGATGTGTGGCTTATTTTATGAGCAGTTTGCTGTGTTATATCCTTACGAAAGGTATTGCAATCTCTCAACATTAAGATGCCATTTTATTAAGTTCTTTTGATCTTGATATTCTGTAACAAAATTATTATTGCTTTTATTTTAGAGCCGCCCAAGCGCAGAGGAGAGCAGAATGCTGTTACTTAAAAACTTTTTCTCAGGTTGTGTAAATGGACTGAGATCATTTACATTGGCTGCAGTTAATCAATAACGGTGTGGTACCTTACTTGATAATGCCATTTATGGTTGTCCCTCTCATTGTACAATTTTATCAAGTCTCATAAATTCAATATGCAGAGAGAAGAACCAAAAGAAACGTGTCGTGCGATTGGCTATAGATTTTAACCGATTTTGACTCACCGGATAATTTTTTACAATTTTTAACTCAAAATCTAACTTAATTTTTTTTTTTTTTTTGTCGTTAAATTAAATTTTTATACATAAAAATCGATTCTACATCAACCGCCTCACGGCAACTAAAGCAGAGTGGTCGACCACAATCCGGTCTCTCACTTGCTAGTCAACATAAGATAAAGAGGGGCAAACCACACTCCATTTAAGGAGGCTAGGCCAAGTCATTTTCGAGGGCTTTTCTCTCCATGTCGGCAAGTACATTCGGGTACAAAGCAAATATATTCCTATAGACATGGGTTTTAATCTTCCGAATAATGAACTCCGGAGTTTACACCTCATTTTCAAAAATCTTTCTATTTCGAGCAATCCAAAGGAAGTATACCGTAGAAGCGAGACCTGCCTTTGTTGCTTTTGTTCTCCAACCGGAGCCTTGAGACTCCTTCTTAATCCACTTCAATGCATTCTTTAGAGTGGAGAGTTGTCTCCTCAATCCTAGCCAATGCCGGATGGCAAGCCACACTTTGGCCGAAAGGGGGCAAGTGAAAAAGAGATGATCATTTGTCTCGGAAGCTTCCCCACAAAAGGCACAAGTAAGGTCAATATCAAGGAAGCCAATTCTATCTTAGGTTCGGAGCCTCCCGAGCATAACAAGCCAAAGAATAAAGGCGTGTTTGGGGGTATTGGCGGCCCCCAAACCACACCCTTCCAAGGGACGGGCGTGCCTTGGGGTCGGAAGAAATCGTAGACGCATGAAGGCCCCTTGGAGCGAGACTTGGAGTCCCAAAGGCTAAGAGTGGCCTCGGCGGCTTGCATGCTACCCAACTTTTCAACTATTAGGTTTCGAATGTCATAGAGGTTTTTGAAAAGAGGGGAATCGTTCTTGTGGATGGTCCATTGGCACACGGATTTTTGCTTAGGTAAACATGATGAACCCAACGTTACCACAAGGTGCCTTTCTTGGCTTGAAGATTCTAAAGTGTTCGTGCTAGCAAGGTTGGATTCCACGCTTTGAGGTCTCGAAGGCCTAGGCCTCCCTCCAAACGTGGGAGGGTGACGGTGAGCCAAGCCACCGACGCCATCTTTGAGCCCCAAAGGAAGCGACGGCATCGTTGGATGATAAGCGAATGGACAGTCGATGGAAGAGGGAAGATAGACAACCAAAAGCATTCCACCCTTTGGAGGACCGATCTAATGAGCTCCACTCTTCTCGCATATGAGAGAGGGAGCGTTCCATCCATTAATGTATTCCGATATTTGATTTATGAGAGGATCAAATTGCCCAACGGTGACTCTTCCCGCCGTGAGTGGGATACCGAGGTACTAGAACGGCATGGACCCCGGCCGGAGGTTAGTGTCCCGAAAAATCTCCGAATGCTCCATTTGGCCAACTCCTGCCATGTAGATGTTGGATTTGAGGACATTCATTTCCAAGCCCGATTTAGCTTCGAAGTCTCTCAAGCAATCCATTAATATTTTAATAGAATATGGTTCGCCCCTCGAAAGGAGCATTAAATCATCCGCAAAGGCTAGGTGAGAGATTTTAAGAAACTTACATTTCGGGTGATAGTTGAAACCCGACCCGCTAGCCGTGCTTCGGTTCATGAGTCTCGAGAGATACTCCATGCATATAGCAAAGAGATAAGGCGAGAGTGGATCTCCTTGTCTCAACCCTTTGGCACCTTTGAAGTGGCCACAAAGCGAACCATTTATAGAGATTGAGTATGAAGTCGTGGTGACATACTCCATGATCCAATTAATAAAGGTTGCCGGAAATTCAAGTCCAAGAAGAACTTGCCTCCAGAAAGCCCAAGAGATAGAATCGAAAGCCTTACGAAGGTCTATCTTGATAGTGCACCTCGGGGAGATCCTCTTTCGCATGTATTGCCGGAGTAATTCTTGCATGAGGTGAATATTATCGGACATGTTCCTACCCCTCACAAATGCGGCTTGAGCTCCATCAATGATTGAGTCAAGAACGGAGCTAATGCGCTTGGCGATAATTTTTGAGCAAATTTTGTAAGTAGTGTTGCAACACGCGATCGGTCGGAAATCCGTTACTTGGGACGCGTGGGGGCCCTTCCAGAGCATAACTAAGGTAGTATGGTTCCATTGCTTGAGTCGGCGCCCATTTGTAAAGAATTCTTGCACGGCGAAGGTGAGATCCTTCCCAACTATGTCCCAACTTTTCCCAAAAAATGTTGAAGTGTACCCGTCCGGGCCGGGGGCTTTGCCACTTTCGATGCCTTCAAGAGTGGCTTTGATTTCATTTACGGAAACCGGAGCAAGGAGGGCGTGATGGTGCTCATGAGAGAGAAGTGGGCCATGCCAGATGATCTCGGGATCAATATCATCGGTCGGAGTCTCGGTACCAAGGAGTCTTTCGAAGTGGGAGACAAACTCTTGACACCTCATCGAGAGAAGTGGTCGAATTCCCATTTTCTTTCGATATAGAGTCAATGAAATTCTTCTTGGCATTTCTTTTGACAAGGGCGTGGAAGAACCCGGTGCATTTGTCTCCTATGATTTGGAATCGGCTTTTCGCTTTTTGTTGGAAGAAGTGCTAAAAATGTTCTAAAAATATCGCTCGATAAGAAAGTGGACTGGGGCTTAGTGCATGAGCAAAGATTAGGCGGGTATCGAGCTTAGTGCCTGAGCGGGGATTAGGCGGGTTTCGAGAAAAAATTACTAAATTACTTATATTTGTCAACTGCATAATTTATTAAGACATATTTCTATATATATATATATATATATATATATGTTCAATCAAATGGTGCCACATGAAAATTAATTTATTAAATACATAGAGCAACATCAAAAGCAGAGAAAATAAAAAATAAAAAATAAAAAATAAAATACAAGGATCACAAAAATATCCGTTGTGGATCTAAAATCAATTAATTTATTAAAGATCAAGTTATATTTTCTATTTATATTTTAGAAATTTCCACATAGTTAATTCTTAAATTTAAATAGTTACTTAATTGATATTTTAATGTTTTACCAATTAAATAATGTCAAGTGTCAAATTTTATTTCTCGGTGACAAAATAACATGTCTTCTAGAAGATCTTGAAAGATTTAAATAGATCTAAAAGATCTTATGTGAATCATCATGTACCAATCAAATCGCGTCGTGCAATTCTCATATTCGGTAGGGTTCTCTCTCCTAGACCTATAAATAGGCGCTCTCCCTTAGGACAAAAAATGGAAACACATATCACAATTCATATTCATGTTCAAGAGCTCTAGAGATTCTCTCGACGAGATTTAAGTGTTCTTGTAGATTCAAATGCTTCTTAAAGATCCGAAGCAAGACTCAAATGCGTTCAACCTCAAGACTGGCGTTTAATCCGAAACAAGCTGTCAAACCTCCAAATTACGTTAGTATATTCAAAACCGGTGCAGAGAAGATCCAAGATCTACTTTGCAGTGAAGAACAAGGAGTCGGGTTCTTCACGTTCCTAGGATATTACAAAGTTTGATTCGAATCAAGGTGTTTGCCCTCGGGTTAACGTTAATTCAAGTCAAATCAAGGAGAAGATCAAGCAAAAGATTTCGCTCCAAGACTTAAAATTGTTCGTGAGAAGAATCAAATGAGAAAATAGAGATTGTAAATTGTAATCCACAAAATTCATTTGATTCGAGAAATTCAATTGTATAATATATTTCGTGTTTATAAGTTCAATACATTAAATATATCGTTACAATATTATATAAAATATATTAACTAATATGATCGCATATAAAGATTATGCAATATATAATGCATTCATACTTATTGTGTTAATTGTAAAATAATTATTAATTTATTCACGATACAATCAATACATATTTTATGCGAAAAAATTAAATCTGTTTTTTATATTTTTAATGGGAAAATTGCACCAAATCCCCCTGTGTTATATTCAATGTTCGTGTTACCCTGTGTTTTAGAAAATGCACCAAACCCACTTATATTTAATAAACCGATGCACACGCTCCCTTGATTCAATTTTTCGGTTAATGGTGTTAATTTCCCGCAAAAACTCCGTTATACCCTCTGAATATTATGTGTATATTTATGGTAAATTGAATTTATCACG